AGAGTCTTGGTAGGTGTTGTGAGGAATATTGTGGGGGCAGTGATTTTCTCCTCAGTGAGATATTTCCTTTCCACATGAAAATCTGAAAGCGGACATATGTTGTCCCTGTTTAGATGTAATGTTCTCCATCTGATCCCTATGGTCCATCTTATCAGGCTAAGACTGAGTGTTGTGGCAGGAGTCTTTCCTCCCTTTGGTCACATTCCTTAATCCAAAACTTTCTGGGGTTTGTTAAACCACACTTAATCCCTTACATCTAAATCAGGAAATAGAGGTTGAAGTGATGACTATAATTCTGGCTTGCTAACCAGAATCAAGCCATGACTTGCAGTTCTTTGAGAAAGGTTTATTGGACTAATATTTTTAAAGTCTTGACTGGGTCAGTAACAAGGATACTGAGTGCCAAGAACAGTTCAGAGTATGCCAGCATGGAACATATGCAGAGAAAGCCAGCTGTTGTAGATGTGCTCTTATTGGTGATGGTGGTTAAGAACTATGACAACAAAAACAATAGTCTGGAATGTATGATAGGTGATTACTATTTAGATTACAAATTTATTTTATTAGTAATCTCATATATATGGGGTATGACAGGCTTCTAGGTATTGCATTTATACACTATATTTCATTCAGTTCCACTTAAATGAAATAGTGATTATTTTCAGTCGTGTGCTGAAGATAGGTAAACAAAATCAAAGCATAAAATAATTACCTTAAATAAACACAAAATAGAATATCAAGGTCTGTCCCTTGCTACTAAAATTTGACTATGTCAGGTGGCCACAGCAGGAGTTGCAAATGAAGGAAGTGCTTGGTCTGGTAGTTAGTGTTTTCTTTCACAAGAAAGGGCATGTTGGTATTCTTAAGCCCGATTAACAGTATTTTAAGCTTCTACATCTATATAGTTTTAGGAGATGGCATAGGTCTCAACTTGCACAGTTTTTCAGGCTATGAATACATTTTAGACTTAATTGAACAGCGCACACAATCATGTTATGGGAACATAGTTGCATGAACAAATTTTGACTATGATATGCAATGGTCCCTATCAAAGTGGCTGGTCCATCCAGTGTCAAGAACGTTAGGCATGTTTAATCCCTTCTTGCTATTGTTTCCAATGAATGGTGTTCATTTCCAATAGGAATGAACAAAAATGAGGATTTGAGAGCCAGTGTGGTGTAGTGGTTAAGAATGGTAGTCTCATAATCTGGGGAACCGGGTTTGCGTCTCCGCTCCTCCACATGCAGCTGCTGGGTGACCTTGGGCCAGTCACACTTCTGTGAAGTCTCTCAGCCTCACTCACCTCACAGAGTGTTTGTTGTGGGGGAGGAAGGGAAAGGAGAATGTTAGCTGCTTTGAGACTCCTTCGGGTAGTGATAAAGCGGGATATCAAATCCAAACTCTTCTTCTCTTCTTCTTCATTCTTATCAGGAAAACTAAAAGGCTACATTTGGTTTGTGGTCTTGGGGCAGGGGAAGATGCTCAGTACTCCTCTATGTAAGTTTTTAAAAGGCTGCCTGGATTTGACCAAAGGCTCTGCTAGGCCCACACCCTAATCTCTGCAGTGGCTAACCAAATTCCTATGGCAAGGCCACAACTAGAACATAGTCCTCCTCCGCTCATGATCCCCATCAGTGTGTTCAGAAGCATGCTGCCTCTGATACTAGAGATAGTACAGTGCTATCATGACTAGTAATCATTGGTAGTCTTATTCTCCTGACTTTGGATGGCCTTGTACTTCTGACAGTGTCACTAGTCATGAATAATTTCCATTCTGAGGGCAGTTCAGGTGAAGGAACTATTTCCCCCTTATTCCCCTGCCTTTGCCACCAACCTAACAATATCTGAAACATATTTTCTGAGCTAGGTAAGTGGACGTGTGCTTTCCTCTTTAGCGCCTGGAGAGAATGCTCACTGTGGGTAAACACAGGGCATGACTACATTTTGAAAAGCTAGTCTGCCGTAGGTAACAAACTTAATGATGGATGAGATCATACTTCATAATATGTAAAAGGAAAGATTTTTGTTGGTAGGATGAGTGGATCTTATATCTAAAAGAAAATGCAGTGTGTGTCCCCCACCCCCCACTTTTTTTATTCTCTCTGCTTGGTAATGTCTTCCCTAGCAACCATTTCACATTTTGGAAAACTGCCTCCCACTTTGAAAACCATGGCTTTATTACCATTCTCTGCAGTTTATTGTACGGCAGTATTAATACACTTTGGACTAAAAACTGTTTATAGACTTCCAAGGAGGCGAACAATTTCTAATATTTTCCCCTTAGATATATTCATTTCAGACTTAAGTGAATAAAAGGATTCCATTAGCACTTGCTCTGGTTTCAGTTTTGCCGCTCCTGCAGATTTTTTATCCCAGCTAGGACACTGAATGGCAAAGAAGTGAAATGGGCTCACTGTGGGGCAGGGTAGCTAAGAAAAAACACATCTGACAGTGTTCTCTCCACCCTCTGTGTTGTTTAGTAATAAGGACATCAGCAGTTAGAGAACAAGGTGGAAGCCAGTTTCTAATTTACATAAGATGATGTACTGAAGCATGACTAGGAGTTAAATATGACAGAGTGACCTCCCCCTCCAATTCTAAGCAGTTTTCTGCAAAGTCTCTCTTCTCAGTAGTGAAATCTTCTGCTTTAGGATACTGTGTGTTCTAGTACTGTATACTCAGGGCCAGCTTACCTGAAAGAGCACCTCCCCCCTTCTGTCCCGTGTTTCTGCATTGGCTCTTCATTTAATCTCATGTTTCTACTTCCTGCAATTTTATTAGGTCTTTTTATTTTGAGCCGCTGGCTACCTAGTTCAAATTTCTTCTAGCCACCTGCTATTTTTATGCTTTGTGAAGTTTTTTCAGAGCTCCCTTTTTGCCTCCCTTCTGATTCTCTCACCCAGTGGTGGGTAGCCTGTGGCCTTGTATCATATGTCATGTGCCCACTGGGATTCTGTGTACCCATTGTTGCTCAATGAACCACCTCTCTGAGAACCACTTCCTCTTCCGCATAAAGTGTATGCTTGGGAAAGGTGTCTACGGATGGGAAGGATTTGAATCAGCTTATATTTGAAGATGAATTTGCGCTTTCTGAAATAATAAGCAAACAAAAACACAGCCATCATTTGAAATGTGCACTTCTCTGAATTTGGCAGTGCAGTTCGCCAGCCAAGCAATATGTACCAAAATTCATATATTAGGGCGGTAAAGTGTTCATATAAATGCCTATATTAGTTAAAATAACATGATGCATCAAATTAGGGGAAATGCTTCAAGAATGTGTACATTAGGCAAAATTGCATACAAAATATGTATACCGGTACATATGTATATTACAGTGGTACCTAGAATCATAGAATCATAGAGTTGGAATAGACCACAAGGGCCTTCGAGCCCAACCCCCTGCCAAGCAGGAAACACCATCAGAGCACTCCTGACATATGGTTGTCAAGCCTCTGCTTAAAGACCTCCAAAGAAGGAGACTCCACCACACTCCTTGGCAGCAAATTCCACTGTCGAACAGCTCTTACTGTCAGGAAGTTCTTCCTAATGTTTAGGTGGAATCTTCTTTCTTGTAGTTTGGATCCATTGCTCCGTGTCCGCTTCTCTGGAGCAGCAGAAAACAACCTTTCTCCCTCCTCTATATGACATCCTTTTATATATTTGAACATGGCTATCGTATCACCCCTTAACCTCCTCTTCTCCAGGCTAAACATGCCCAGCTCCCTTAGCCGTTCCTCATAAGGCATCGTTTCCAGGCCTTTGACCATTTTGGTTGCCCTCCACTGGACACGTTCTAGTTTGTCAGTGTCCTTCTTGAACTGTGGTGCCCAGAACTGGACACAGTACTCCAGGTGAGGTCTGACCAGAGCAGAATACAGTGGCACTATTACTTCCCTTGATCTAGATGCTATACTCCTATTGATGCAGCCCAGAATTGCATTGGCTTTTTTAGCTGCCGCGTCACACTGTTGGCTCATCTCAAGTTTGTGGTCAACCAAGACTCCTAGATCCTTTTCACATGTACTGCTCTCAAGCCAGGTGTCACCTCCGTTTAAGAACAGTCCGGTTTAAGAACGATTTGGTTTACAAACTCCTCAAAACCGGAAATAGTGTCCTCGTTTGAAAACTTTACCTCAGTCTGAGAACGGAATCCGAACAGTGGAAGGGGACCAACGGTGGGAGGCCTCATTAGGGAAAGTGCGCCTTGGTATAAGAATGGACTTCCGGAATGGATTAAGTTCATAAACCAAGGTACCATTGTATTAGGAAAAACACACATTAAAATGCTGTTAAATTTTCATGAGGCTCTTTTTCCAGAAAAATCTGGATCTGATCTGGAGAGCTGAGTTTAAGATGGTAAAAATTAGAAACCGATTGAAATTGACATATTTGCCTATCCATAGTAGTGTTTCAGAACAGGAACAATGCAATTCTGCAGCGCTACAAGCTGCTCACTTTTGGACCTGACCCCACATAACACCTGTACAGCCAACAGATTACCCTTGAGGGAATGCAGCCACTTTCCTTCATGCTTCTCTTTTTTCCTGAAACCATCTTTCCTCTGAGCTTTCTGTGTTTTAGCTTTTGTTTATCACATACCTCTACACTGATCTGTGCTTGCTCCTGTATTCAGTTTAAATCACAGCCAGACTGACTCAATACTGTTTCTTCATAGAAGCTGGAATGTGAATTACAGTACTTTATTTCCTGAGTAGCTAAGCATTCTGAATCCTCACATTTAATTCAAATAATAATCATCAGATGATTTACCTTCATAAGTGCAATGCAATACAGAGTACATTTAGTTCTCAGCAGTAATTGAGGAACATGATGCTAATTCATATTCTAAAACAGTGGCATTTTCTCTCTCTGCATTACTAAGGTGGTATGCATGCTAAGGTGGTGTACATTCAGCTATTATATAGAACAGTGAGAGCTTCCTCTTCATTACTATTACTATTACCATGGCAGTAGTCCTGAACCAGCAGTTGTCGTTTTGATATATGTATGCACTAATGTGGATTGAAGAGTCTCAGTTGAGTGGTGAAAGTGAATAGCCCAGATGGAAACCAGTTACTATTCTAATAATGTTCCCTCCTAAGGATAAAGTACTGAAGAAGGGGACTGATTATTAAAACTAAGAAAATGTTATTGAAACAATGTGATTTGACACTGTGGAAGGAGGTATCCTTTTGTTATTATTTTTCTCTTGAAATGGAATCATAAGTGGATATGTATATGTATTTTGCTTACTAAACATTTCTTTTAACTATTAAGCAACAGCTGTATGTGCATCTGCTGCAGTAGTTGTTGGGAGCCAGTTTTTTCCCTTTCAGATACTGTTTAAAGTGCTACAGAAACCTGAAAACCTGGTTGATCAGAGACCACAGCAGGATAGAAAAATGATTATGTATATTATGGGTAATAATAGCTATGCAAGAGTGCTTCAGAATCTTGTAAAATTATCATATGTATGCAGCCTAATTTGCCATGGTTGCGGTGAGCAACTTTATTAAGCTAAAAGTACAAATTGTACAAAATACTTGGAGTCTCTTTGATTTGTATAAGTCCCCAGGAAATAGACATGTTTGAGGAAATATTGGATTTTGCTGTTGTATAGATTTTTAAGAATACTTCATGAATGAATCTAATTGGGCATGAGAATGAATTTTATCTGTAGTGAGAGTAATATGAATTTAATTTCAAAATCTGAAATAGCACTGTAATGTACTTGAAACACTGCTTTTGTGGTAAATTGCAAGAATTATAAGATATATTAATTAACCCTGATATTGTAAAAGACAGTGGCATTGCAGATAGAAATATATAGAGTGAATATTCTTTTGGAAGGTTTTTTGGATGCCGCATATAGTCCCACTGTACCACTGTAGTAGAGATACAGAGCATTGTTGGTGACACTGAAATGGAAGAATCCCAGTACCTTTTGGAACCTCCATTGTTTAGCAGTGTAGTCTTGGCAGTTGTACCACCCCAGTTTTTAAGGGAAAAAATGATATCCCCTCCACAGAAAAGTCTGTAAATACCACATTAGAGTTTTCAAGCATTCTGTGCAGTGCTGTGAGTTCTGTGATTATCATTTGGAAGCAGATGTGGATCAGCTTTGTAGACCCATTAAGTTCTAGCAGTTATTTTGTCATTAAATCTGCTACAATAAAATGTTCCACTGTTCACCAAAATAAACCTTAAGGTTTTTATTGAAATAATACTGTTAAACATAATTTGCTTTTTAAAACCCTCTCATGACAGTAACGGAATTCAGAGTATAACTAAACATTATTTCTATCATCAATATTATGTTCCCGACTTTGGTTTACATCAAGAATGAAGGACCTCAGGCCCTGGGGTGACATGGGACCCACCAAGCTTCTCTATTTGGCCCTCAAGACTTTCTCAGGTTTTGCACCTCCCTGGCCCTGTTCTGCACCCTCCTTAAGTGGTTGTTTCAAATGTTCCAAGGCTGATAAATAGAAAAGTAAAATAGTGTTTAAAGTATTGTCTTGTGATCTGTCAGCTAAATAGTGGAATTGTTAGCTGTAATTTTTCCTTTCTTCTTATGTCTTGCTTGGAACCTGAACTGATTTTAACTTATTTTTGTTTCAGCTTTGGATACATCACAGTCCAAGCGAGATGGAGGTTTCAAAAATACCTGGGGCTTTAATTGTTCAGATGAAAGTGAAGGAGATGCAGAAAAAGAGTAAGGATACCTTAATCTAGGCAACAGAAAGTAAAATGTGGAACGTTACAGTAATTAGAAAACTGAGCACCCCTCCAATTCTAATTCTCTAAAGTGGAAGTGTTATAGTGTGTCACTAATTCATACCCACAAGAGGGTCACATTCATGTAAGGTTTTTCTCAGGCTAGTTATTGCCTAAAGATGTTACGGATTATTCCAGAAGCAAGTAGTAGGTTTCTTATTTTTAATTTTTAATAACTAGAATCTCGGGGAATTAGTGCAGTTATGGAGCCTACCTAGCTCAGGTTAAAACAACCGAGTCAGGAACTTTTGAAATGTTTTAAATAGCAAAAGAATTCAATATTTTTTTGGTACTTCTTTTAGAATAAAAAAACTTGAAGGTCATATAAAAACTTAATTATATGCATGCTGTTATGTGTCTCTTGAGATGGCTTCCCACCCTACCCTGTCCTGTTTACCTAAACTGAAGACTACTGTCTTGCAAATTTCTTAGTTTTGAGTCTTATAAAAATCCTGGCTTGGAAAGTTTATAGACAACAAATTCTTCCATTCATTTATCTCCTACAACACTATATATTTATGGGAGTATATCATTTTTTGAATTTTACTGATTGGGGATGAGTGGTAGACTGACATTCAGCCTCCTTGCTTAATAGACTGGTGGAGAAGAGTTATGGAACAACTACTGGTAAGCGAGCTAATTATTTTTGTTAACAACATAATTGGATTTGGTCTCATGAACGTTTAAAAATACTAATACAATACCAGGGTGAAAAAGTGACAAGTGAAACATAACAACAGATAGCTGGATCCCACGCAAAGGATAAGTGATTCTTTTTCTCTCACAGATCTCAGAGTCAGGTGTGTTCTATACCATATGACACTTTCCTCAGAGAGATAATCCTGTAAACAGGAAGACATGTATACTTATGAAGTTTGGCATTTGTGTGTATAGGCCAATGTACACAATGACTTCCTGATGTGTGCATATGGTAACATATGCTGTACATCTCAAGTGATTGCGTACACATTTTTCTTATATTAGGATCATTCCTTAAAAAAAAAAAGGACATGTTTGAAGCTGTCATGACATCCCCTTCTAATATACCACAGTTGGTTCTCATTTTGGGTGCTTCAGTTCCAGAATAATAGTACTTATTTGTGCACTGCGCTGCTAATTAACAAAAAGAATTTTGTGTTTTTATTTTTAGTAACTTTCTTGCAGACTTCTTATGTTTGTGTTTGCTCTTGCCCAGGTTCTAGTGCTTCATTTCCACCATCCTTTTATTACTGCAATTATTTAGAAAAGAAAGGAACCTAAATCATAGCATAGATGCAGAGAATTGTTTAGTATCAAAGTTTAGGAACAATGGATGTTCTAGGCCCAAGTGGTTGTATCAACTGGATGTTGAAATAACGATGGAACCTTTCCCCAAGAATGCAAGAACTGACTTAGTAGGATGAGATCGGCATGTTTTTGCGCCCCCCCCCCCAAAGTCCGCTAAAAACTGAGCATGCTGTAGCCATGGAAGCTTGAGTGTCAGATAAAATAAAAGGGGTAGGGAGTGGAATGGCAGAATCCTGGACAGGAGCACTCTTACTGGGATACAAGGATGCATTTTTCTGCAGTTTCCACTTGTATTAATTCTATTCTTCCCTTGTAAATGCAATGGATGTACTAACTCTGGGAGGAATACTATTTTTTCTAGGTACCTAGTATGGTGCCAAGAAGATTTACTGTATATTCCAAAAACAGAAGCACAACCTTCAGTGTGAAATACTTTAAACTACACACAAATGGTTAACAGCTACACATTTATTGCTGAGCATTCTGAAGAGAATCATATTTAGATTTACTGCTAAATTGTACTACCTCTTTACAAGCAAATGTTCTGGTTACAAATTTAGTTTCAGGTCTAGATCTCAAATTCTGTGTTTGCTTAGAACAATGTCCATAAAATCCATACAAAAGTCGTACTGTGAAGCCATCTGCTAAAGTAATTCTACATATTACCAGGTTTGTAATACTATTACTGACATTGCATTTCCCCCTGTCTTTTGTATACACTTTATTTTGAGGCAAACTAGCACCAAAATATTTTAGAGGAAAGTGTAAACCTCGTGATTGTTTAACAGATTGAGAAAACATTACTTGGACCTTTTTGCAGTAGTTGTTTTTGCAGTAGTTGTTGAAACCCTGTTTGCTATTATTGAATTACAATATACATATTTTGTTTCCTGTTCTTTGCCTGTTAAGTGAAGCCAGTCTGCTGACTGTGGATGAGAGTGATGGAAGCTGCAGTCCCACTGGTGGGAAAAAAGTGAGTATTTATCAAATATAATGTACATGAAAATGCATTTTTATATTTCACATTGAGTGAAAGATTTCAATATGTCACATTTAAAAAAAGAAGTTCTAATATGAGGAGGTGACTGCTACAAACTCATGCAGTGTGTATGCCGCTAAAAAAAGAGCACACACATGCTTTCTTAAACTTTTATCAGCAGCTTACTATATGGCCTTGGAGCTTTGGCAAAGTGAACTTTTGGCTTCTTGTGGTGTGTGTGTAAAAACAATAAACAATCATGATTGTTTCCCTGCAAAGGAACACAGTAAATAGTAAATCACTACATTATCTCATATTTAAAGTTTACAACATATTTCATCTGTCAACCGGTTTCATTTGTATTATTATTATCACAAATGGCAACTGTTTGTGTGGGAGTTCTGTTCCTGGCCCCCGAGTATGTTGGCAGAGTGTGCATGACCCCATCCCCATCTCCTGTTCTGTCCTCTTCCAGGTCCAAAAGGACTTTTGTGTCGGCTGTAGGTGTTTGGATTATTGAGAATATCTTAGTATTTGAAAGCTTAATAAAAATGTAAAATGTCTCCATCTGAGAGCTGCTGCTTTGTAGATTAAGCTTTTGCTAATTGTTTCAGGTGCTGCGATTTCACTCAGGAACTATTGGTGCCAGAGGCGATTCTATGAGAACATATGCTAGACGAAGCAAAATTGAACCTGGTGCTTTAAGAGTAACCCCAATTGGACTCAACATGTTGGGAAGCAGCAAGAAATTGAGGTATACTTCCTAATATACTAAAAAATATTTAGTAAATGGCTTGTTTCTGGGGGAAATAGTGATTGTGAGAATTCTGCTTGTGAAAGGACCTTAAGTTTCTTACATTTGCACCTTTGGAAAATAGATTTAGATGCTCTATTTGCAATATCCAAGTGCTGTTGTGGACTAAGACCTGGGATCTTGACTATGATGGACTATGATCCTCTATGGATAAGAAGGATTGCACCCACCAGTTGCAAATAACTCATCATTTCCTGCTGCAGCTGGCTAATCAAAAGTGTCAGTGTAACTATGATTAGGTAGCATGGCGGAAGTGCTGATTCAGGTATCACTTAGAAAATGAAGTAATGGAGGAGTTTCTCTAAGCAGACTTATAATTCTTTCCATGGTGTGAATTCTAACATTTTTTTCTTACCTGTTTTTTTCTGTTTGCAGTGAAAATGTTCAAAATATTCCTTGTTCTGCAGCAGTAGTACAAGCTAGACGCTGTCACCATGCTCATGCACAAACATCTTTAGTAAAAACAGCAGCGCAAAGGTAAGACTTAAAGGACATATTTAATTTCTCTCGTGAAAAAAAAGACAGCTTTGTATGCTGTGGGTCTTTCTTTAAATATCTGCTTAGAACTGAGTAGTGTTGGGGGGGGGGGCCATGCACACCTCTGTGGGGAAAGAGTTCCAGAACTTGGAACCGCCATAGAAAAGGCCTTGTCTATAGTGCCAACGAACCAAATTGTCCTAACAGGTGGGCACATGAGTAGTGCCTCTGAGGCAGGTCTCAGTGCCCAGGCAAGTTCATATAGGTGAAGGTGGTCCTTCAAATAATTATCCCAAATAATTTAGGGCTTTAAAACCAAAACCAGCGTTTTGATTTGGGCTCAGAAACTGGTAACCAGTGCAGCTGGTACAGAATCAGTGCCATACTCTGTTAATCTTGCTCCCACTTACAGGGCAGCAGTATTCTTCACCAGTCGAAGCTTCCAAACAGTATTCAAAGGTGCCCTTGTTGATTGCATTACAGTAGTCTCACCTAAGGCATGGCTTTGAGGCAGGGCCTGATATCTCTAACTAAGATTATAGCTGGCATATCAACTGAAGGTGAGGAAATGCACTCCTAGTCAAATATCCCACCTGTGCTTCCACAGTGAGTGTTGAGGACAGGAGAAGCCCCATTGGTAGTACAATTGTGCTGATTCCTCCTTCCAGATTGGCTGGTTTTCTAACTCGGAGTTTCATTTTGTTTTTCCCTTATCCAAATCCAAGAGTATAGAACAGCTAAAGACTCGCATTAAATGTGCACAACAAAAACAGGTTGGGTGTAGACTTGTGAAACACTACTTGATGAGAAGAAAGATCTATCAGAAAATATTACAGACCTTACAAAAATGTAGAAACTTTGAAAAAGGGTAGTGCTGCCATAGTGGGTTCATCATGTGCTGAAACAGCACAAAAGTCACTTTGATTATCTGAGACTTTAAATTGTATGTATTGCAACCAGTCTAAGAGGTTCTAGAATATTTTGTTCCTTATCTGGCTAGGGGCTAAGATAGAGTAAGTGAATTAGGGTCTTTTCTAGACCAAGTAAGTGGTATGTAGTATAACTGCATGGCGTCCAATGAGTTGTACTTCTAAGGCAGCCACAATGAAACTTTACTGGGGAATAAAGACACATGTCTGTCATCTTTTACTTACTTCTGTCCTACTTGTATTATTTATGGGTCAACTCATACATAGAACTCTCTGTTGTTGAAGCTTTGAGTGTTCACCAGCTTACAGTATTTAGACTCATTCAACAACCCAGAAGAAGAGATATTTTGAGCACTGTAGGTCCACCGAGCACAGTCTGCCTACTATGTCTGTGGTGTAGGCTTTTCATCTATACCTTTCCTTACCCTGATTGAATCACAAATTTGGACATTGTTTTATAATATGCCAGGTCCTGAACTTGTTAACCACACTTGAGCCTTAATCTAAAGTCTGATCTGTATACCACCCTGTGAACCTCAGATCTGGGGGGGGGGGGGGAGCGGGGCAGGCAGCAGTGGCATGGAAATTTGATAAATAAAATAAAAATGTTTCTTAGTTAAAGTATGGTTGATTGTGCAATCTTCCTACTTCACCATGGGTTTTAGTAGTGCATTTCTTAAGGAATCAAGGTTTGGACTTTGAGGGAAATAGTTTTGATTTTTGCTTCCCTAGATGAGGTTTTTTGGTGAGACAGAAGCTCCCAAACTTTATGTGGAGGTTGGAGATGAAGTAATAGAATATTCCCTCCTCTTCTTACATATATTTTTAAAAACTAAAATAAGGTTAACAGCCCTCATGTACCCCCACCCCTGCCACAATTCCATGCTTATGCCATGTAAATAATGCAGTCAGACATTAAGTTTGTAAATATTTAAAATTTAAGTAACTACTCTCTATCTTAACATATTTTCCCAAAGTGAGCCATGGGTAGCAGGTGGTGAGGGGACAACACTGTCATTTGCACGACAGTATTCTGTTCGTATACTGAGGAGAAATTGTTACTGTATCCTACCAAAATACAGTTGAATGGTGTAAGATCCCCAAACTTCTTAGGCAACTCCAGTTACTTAGTTTCACCTGTGTACTATCACAAGTTCTCCCAGGGGATATGTCCACGACTTATTTGCCATATGTATAGTGCTTACCATCAAAACATTCAATATATGTTTTCCCATGGCTTGTTCTTTACTTAGGATTGGAGTCTAACTTGGTCATGCTTAGAATAGACTCGCTGAAATCTATGACTTGTTAGTTATGACTAACTTAAATTACATTGGTTTAAATAGATCTATTCTAGGCATGACCAAGCCTGGATTCAACCCACAGAAAAGCAGAGTGAAACATTCAGAGTGAAACTTTTCTTTTCCAAATGATATATTCCTGATAAGAATTTCAGTAAGATTAACAAAACTTATCTTCTCTTGAAATTAAGACAGAATGCCCAAATTTGCATCATATATTGCTTTTGTGACTTGAGGTTTGGTTACATATGCAGCTCAAATGCCATATTTAGAAAGGTTTTTAAACGTTTTTTATGAAGAGGCAAAGGGATAAAAAAATTTAAAACAGCAACTTTGTCAAATGTGAATACATCTTTGCCAGACATTTGGGAATAGAAGTGTTACTTTGTTCAGATTTTTAAAATGCTAAATACCTGGCTTAGAAACAAGGTATGTAGAGGTTAAGGGAAAGGAAACTGACAGAGTACGGTGCAAGACTTTGAAAAAGGATGCAGGTGTAGAAAGCAGGGGCTGAAAAGATGAGACAAGATGGGAACTAAACAAAATAAAGATGGCAAAGCCTGGGAATAAGATGGGGATGTTGTGGCTCAAATGGGCCTACTCCATTGTGCCTGATTATTTAATCCTTAATTATTTAAACCTATTTTTACCAAACTTTTCTACAAACCCAACCATGTGAACATGTGGGACTTGCTCCCCTCCATGGACATTCATTTGCATGCTTTCTTCATATTATATAAACACAATAGATTGGTTGTCCCCCCTCTCTCTTTCTTTTCCCCACTTTTTAAAAACACTAAGGAATTATTTAGACCTGGAAGAAGGCAGATTCATGTGAGACCTGAATAGGAAGTTTAGAGACATTTGCTTGAATGTGATCTGGTGCATGACACCATATGGCCTAGATGCTGCTGCATCATAAAATCTCCTTTGTATGTGTTCCCACTATTTAGTGGACATCTCGCTAGGATCATCTTCATAGTTTGGCCTTTAAATTCTTAGCAAAAGGGACTCAATGGTTATACAATAGTGTTAATGAATGTTTGTTATACGGTTATTTAAATAACCTTACAGAACTATAATATGCTGACAGAATACAATCAGTTATATTCTGACATATATTCTATAGAGCATTATGCCAGTAACTGTTGACAGACCTGGAATGATACGGTATTAAGCAGCTAAAAAGTGTGATCTTTTTTGGCAAATTTAGATGCTAAGTGCTACTTACAACAAAGAGTTCAAATTTAAATTGAACATTGGATATCCAGATACAGATTTCTTTTTTCAAATCTACTGATGTTCTACAAATTAAGGGCTTTGTATCTTATTATATTTTTCTCTTTCATATTTTAAGCAATCTGGATCGAAAGGAAAGGTAAGCTCAATGGTGACATGAGCATGGTAATAAAAATGTGGTGGAAATAATGAAGTTGTGTCTCATAGCTAAATCCACACTAGCAAGCTTAATGGTCAACATTGATGGAAAAACTATTTTGCTAGAATAACAATTGGTGTGTTACCACTCATTTAGCTGTAATGATTTTTTGTTTTGTTTAAATTGGTGTGTTTTCTTGACTAAATACCTGTGATACATGTATGCGTACATCTTTGTGTACTACATATGTCCATCTATGTAGCACAGGCATTAAGGCAGCAACCTAAGCTCCACTTAATTGGAAGTAAGCACCATTGAATTAAATAGGACTTTGTGAAGACTTTGTTAGGATTGCACTGTTAGTCAAGAAAACAGTGTTCTGTGATATGCTAATTTAAACAGAAATACCAGATCTCGCTTGCTGGTTGTGGTGGGTGGAGAAGGAGAAATGTGTCTCTATTGAGATTGGACAGAGGAGGACATTGGCCAGGGCAAACATGCAGGAGGTTTGGAGCAAGAGAAGGTATGGCTTCAGAAGGAAGATAAGGGAACTTGGGACATCTTACATCCTTGTGATCTAGCTCCAAGCCCGCACCCATACTTTAGATTATTATTATTGGGGCCACCAGAATGGCATTATTGCTGGTAAATGCAAAACTGACTGCCAGTAAAAAAATCTGCCTTCCATACGTTATAGAAGTGGCAGCTAACCAGAGCTGCATTAGACTTGGCTGACTGATTCAGAGTGCTCTGTTTTGTCCTATATCATCCTGGACTGCTACTCTATCCAGCACTTGACTTGTGCAGATCATCAGGGTGGGTATAGAAAGGTTGCAGTCACTTTTTAGGTATATATTTTTGTCTTTTACAATCATTCGGTGTTAATTTTTAAAGCCAGAAACTGCATGGGTCCCACTACGTAAGGGACAGTGTCTTGCCATGCCACTCTTCATGTCAGTTAATATCAACAAGGGGAGTCCTTGCTCTAGATCTCCTGATGGGAGATAGGCCATTCTGTGAGACCATGAGCTGGGCCTATTTTGTAGTTATTGAGGCAGTTCTCTTTCTACTATGGGAATTTCACATTCACAGATGTTTCAACCTTGATTGGATTTAGAAAGAAGAAGCATTTTAGTATGTGAGCAGAAGTGCCTTGGTTGGTGTGGTGGAGCCTTTACACTAGCATTCTAGAGTTGGGGGTGAGATAGTGTGTTGGTGCAAGAAACCATTGGAGCCATTCTGCAAGTTGTTTCTTTACATAATTTGTGTGTGTGTGTGTGTGTGTGTGTGTGTGTGTGTAGTTGGATTATAAGCAGAACTGATTTGCAACATTGTGTTTTCTGCTTTAGATTTATTTAAAGCAGTATATGAAACAAATATACACAATATTACTCTGTTACACAAAAGTACATGTTTGATTTGCTTTTTCACTTATGTAGGAAAGGAGTATAATGGATAAAAATAGCATTTTTTCTTTATAAAATTTCAATGGAGATCTTTCTGTCAGGAAAAGTGCAGTTTTGATTTTTATTCTGAGGATATTTATCTTATACATTTTATAATAATGACAGAACATTGCTGCAACTTCCTTATACATGGGAACTTCTTTCTTTTATACATGTGGATATGTGTTAAAAATGAGAGGGCAGTTTAAAAAAACAGATAAAAGGGAGAAAGAAAAGAAAAGTGAATAAAAAATGAGTTGAAAATGAGTAATAATGTAGTGGTATTGTTGAAATGGAGGCTTGCATATGTAGTTAAAAAGGGTATTGGTGAGGGTCCCTGCGTCAAGGCTAAGACAGCAGTCCCTGGAAGTGGCCTCTGATGGTTCAGGCCTCCTTTGTGGGTGCCACCCTTACAATTCTTAATAAAAAATTATTTATTTAATAAAAAGGGGATAAAAAATAAAATAAAAATCCTAGTCTTAAGATCCTTGTTGTGCCCGTCTCTGGCAGCCAGCAGCACCCACATGCCAGCAAGTGAAGGTCTGCGCCATGCCTTGGCTTTCCTGGGTGAACCCCGGCACCGGCCTGCTCTTTTTGCACCAACTCTCTCCCGGTCTCCTCCTACCTTTCTCCCTTGGTGGTTGCTATGGCAGCGATGGCAGTCGGTGGGTGCTTGGCTAGGGGTTGGGGTGGGTTGCTCTGCTTTGTTTTTAGTTCAACTCTGGAGCCTCTGGGCCCTGGAGCTCCACTGAGTTGTCGCTGGAGCAATCTTGGTCCCAATGGGGTTGAGATTGTCAGGGAAGTCCCGGGGGTTCCATGTGGCCTCTTTGGTTTCTGTGGTGAGCACTCCGACTCTCCTTGGATCATGGTGGTGGCAGTGGCTGTATTGGTGGTGCGGGGACCAGTCAGGCAGTTCAGCTGGTGCTGCTTAGGAGCTCTACGGGGCTGTGGTGCTCACCATCTTGCCTCGCTGGAAGTTCTCACATGTGAATATGTTTTGATGTGGTTTGTCTGACACACTAAGCTACACCTTGACTTAGAGAGAAAGCACAAATGTGCTTAGCTAAGCCAATGTATGGCATAGCATGTGGGCCAAACCAGGACTAATGGTTAAGCTTTATCCTTGTTAACCACAAGCTGAGATTTGTTCTCAGCCAAACCACACTAAGCTGCTGTCCATTTTATTAGAACTAAAATTGTTCTATGTACCTCCCTGAGTTTTGTTCAGGCAGAGGGAATCTTCAGGTCATTGTTTTTTCCTAGTACTTGGGTTTGTTTAGGCAGGGGTTTCATTGTGATTGCTCATGAAAGATTACTAATACTAAAGTGGTAATTTATGTGAGTTGTTAATGGAATTAAACAACTTTATTTGAGAATTTATTCTAACCATCATAGGCGCCGACTCCATGGGACCTGAGGGGGCCCGAGCCCCCTCAAAAATTCGTTTGGGGGGGGTTCTGCCCCCCCAATTATTTAAGAAAATTATTAGTTATATTATGCTTTGTAAAATCACAAAATTATGTTGGTATTTTTTTATTTTCCTTGTTTGACGATAGTTACCTTTTAAAATACATTCAGTAATGAGTTAAAACAAATAATTATTACGGTAGTAAGCAGGTTAACTGAAAAGAGTGGTGTGAATCATGATAGTGTTACGGTGCTGCGGGCACACTTAGAATTTGTCCCGGTGCGCGGACTTCCGGTGGAGCGCGTTCTCGTTGCGGGAGGGGATTTTGCCGCTGGGAAAATCCCGAGCTACTTTGGGGGAAAAGGGGGTGCTAAAGGGCGCGGAAGCCCCCCAAAATACTCTTGAAAGGTGTCAAGAGGACAAGGAACCCTGCAAGACCACTAGCAGCTCGCTCGACCGTCAGGTAACTTCAAAACAACTGAAGTGAAGAGAACGGCGGGTGGAACGGCAGGTCAGAGGGAAACCATTACCTACCCCCAAGCAGCGAAGCCCCGGTCTCGCCGAGAGAAGCGCGACGTCCTCAAACTAGACGAAACCTGGGATTAACTCAAATTGGTTAAACGTTTTGAACTAAAAGAATCCCGGGAGCCTAAGAAAAAAAAGCAGAGTTCGGCCGCTATTCGGAATCTACAAGGCGCAAGGTAATCTCCAGAGCGGTGTGAGGGGGTGAAATGTATTAGCGAGTTACTTCCGTTTCCCTGAAAGCTGCAACTTTAAAAATAGCCGGCGGAGGAAAGATACTTTGTTTCAAAAGCCGGCTGAACTTTAACAGGGAACAGAAAGTACTATTTGAGGAGTTGTAATCCCTAATGAGTTGGGGGGTGGATTAGAAGGAGAAAGAAGACCCGTCGCCTCATTTCAGCAGCGTTCTCAGCAGTGCTCTAGCAGCGAGAAAGCAAGGGATAAGAAAATAGAGGAGACAGGACTGGAGAGAAGCAAAATGGAGTATAACTGGAAACTACAACTAAAAGAGACTGTATTACTCTCAGTGGGCAGTACTACCCGGGATATCTAAGGACCCTGGGAACTGGGAGACTCTGAGAGTTAACGGATATCTAATGAACCTTTGAAAACTACTCTCTTACTTCCGGGAATTTACCATAGAAAAGAAGGTGCCTGTTTGACAAAGATAAAGAAAGACACCTAGTGGACAAAATAAGACAAAACAATTGGTTTTTGGAGATCTGCTCTCATTGCCACATCTCTAATGAAGGATTGTACAGACTTGAGGATCTTCCTCTGTGTTATTTAATCTTTCCATCTCTTAACCTTAAGCTTAACAGGTCTTAATTAACTAATAGGAACAGAGACTATCGAGACCTTTAAAATTAATGAGTGATAAAGACATTGGTTGATAGAATACTATCCTGGTTACCTCTATTTGGGCCGAAAAAGAAAAAAAAGGGGGGCTCCAAAGTAAATATTTGGACTACTTGGAGTAGAGGCAAGAGGAAGCGCGAGGAATGGCCGGAATGTAGGAATGTTGATAATTCTCCTTTGGACATATTAACGTGAACATTATCATTGGGTGACGTAAAAATTTGGTTAAAATAGGATACTGGTAACTGCACAATTGTGCAAAATCTGTTGACTATATTGACTATATTGGGGATTTTGTAAAAACTGCTGTTTATATTTAATATCTCGGACCAAGGAGGGAGTAAGGGTATATTGATATTACATAATCGACAATTGTTAATTACAAAAACCGAAGAGTAGAGATTTTGGAATTTGATAGAGACAATGTCGAATACAGCAAAGAGAGCAGAGGGAGGGACACCAACAGAAAGAAAGGGATCCAAACAGGAAGTGGATTTTAAAGCAGACATATTAAGAATGTTTGCGGAAATTAGACAAAGTGAGAAAAATCTAGAAGAAAAATTAGAACAAGTAGACAATAAGATAGGAAAAATGGACAAAAAAATGGAGGAAACAGTTAACGAACTAAAAGGACAAATAAAGGAAGTCTTTAGGAGAACACAAGTTGTAGAAGAAGGCTTGAAAAAAATGAAATTAGAAATAAGAGAGGTAAGGCGGGAAGAGGACAAACTGAAAATAGAGGTGCTAGAACTGAACAAAGCGCAAGA